TACAGTCAACTGGACAGGTCGTTTTCCTTATGGGAAAAATATATTTATCACATGTAAAAATCAATTCCAGTTGGATTACAATCCTAATTGCAGTAAGTAAATGTCATTAAGAAACAAGCACACAAACATACTAGGAGAACCTATTACTTGGGTTATGGAGGACTTGTAAGAAAAGACTGCATATGCACATGAGGGGAAAACATGTTTGATAGGACTATATTAAAATGTAAAAACTTAACATCTTGGAAGATCTTGTAAACAACATGAATAGACTGATCTCAGATTGAAAGAAGAGATTTGTAATAAGTACAACTAACGAAAGTTGATATCTAACATAATTTCTACAAATCAAGAAGGGAGAGACAAACAATCCATTGGAAAAAAATCAGCAAAGGATATGATCAAGCAGCTCACAGAGCAGAAAGTATGATTGGCCAATCACCATATGAAAAAATATTCAGTCTTACTAGTAATCATGCTAATGCAAATTATACCATTCCATATCCATCTGATAGACAGATGTGGAAAAGGCTGAAGAGACGATATCTCAGCAAAAATGTGAGGACCCAAACACTCTTATGCTGCTGCTGAGAGAACAAATTGAGACACCCATTCAGTAGAGCTGTTTTGCAAATCTAATAAAGTGGAGATGAGCATATTCAAGCACCTGGACATTTCCCTCTGTTATGTGTACTAGAAAACACTCCTATAAATACAAAGGGAAACGTGCATAAGAGTACTTACTCCAACATTGTTGCAATAGTGACGATTGTAAACAACCTAAACATCCATCTGTAAAAGTTGACAGAGACGGTGACTGTCCTCTGACCACTCAAGGGAGGAATAGGAAGAGAAGCACCATCAGTGTCCTGCAGAGGCAGGGGCCCACAGACATGCCTCCACCCTCTGTCCTCCTTCAGCGATGATGCTGACACCAACCAGCCCATCCAAGGCACTCTCTGTTCTCTGCTGGGTTTGATAACTCGAGGCGGTGGCCGCACAGGACTCGCAAGCAGTACTCACAATTACGGTTTCCTCGGGAAGTCAATAGATCACAGTTCAGAACCAGATACTCAGAACAGTCTCTTCTCAGGCATGCTCTCTTTGGTCTTTGGCCTCTCAGCCACAAAGCCCCTTGGCCTCTTCCTTGCTTGGACCATGTTGCAAAGTTCTTTTAGGGATGCTGGTAAATGCGCAAAAGGCACCTGTCTGCTATAGACTTCAGCCTGAAAGGTGTTCCTTTCTTACTCACTGAGTCAGTAAGCTTAGCTCTCCAAGTAAGCTCCTGGAGATGCTCCAGGTGAGTGAGTGCACTGCCCAAAGGCACTTGCTTTACTTGCTTCATGGGCTGAAAAAGCCACGACTCTCTCATGCTCTGGTGGTTGATTTTACTGCTGCCACTTCTCTGTCACTTCTCCTATGTCAAAGCTTCCATAAATCAAGGAGATTCAATGCACAGGGATTTCAGGGTCCAAAGAATGCACTGTACTGGCTCTTCATTCTTGATAGTAGTGTGATCCCCCTTCCTTCTCTTGAGACTGCACATTTTAAATTCATCAGGATAGCAGCTTTACCAATTTCCATATTGGATTTCCAAAATTTTACAATCACAATTAACCCTGTTAATAATTTCTCACACTGAATCATAGAATAATCCTATCATCATTTTCCTCCACCCTCTCTTATCCAGACTTAGCAGGAATCAACTTACCTAGTTGACTAGGTAGACATTAAAAATATGTCTCTTAGCTAATGGTGCCTGACTATCAAAAGATATAGCGTCTGGGGTCTTAAAGGCTTGAAGATAAACAAGCGGCCGTCTAGCTGAGCAGCATCAAAACCCACATGGAAGAAGCACACCAGCCTGTCTGACCACGAGGTGTAGAACGGACCAGTTATCAGACATCAAAGAACTAAAAATCATATCAGTAGGTGCCCACCTTCCTGATACAATCACTGAAGACAAACGTGTGCATAAGCAAATGTGGTGAAGAGAGCTGATGGTGCCCGGCTATCAAAAGATATAGCATCTGGGGTCTTAAAGGTTTGAAGATAAACAAGTGGCCAACTAGCTCAGAAGTAATAAAGCCCACATGGAAGAAGCACACCAGCATGTGTGACCACCAGTTGTCGAAGGGATCAGGTATCAAGCATCAAAGAACAAAAAATCATATCACTGTAAAGGTGGGTGAGTACAGAGTGGAGACTCCAAGCCCATTGGTAGGCAACTGGACACCCCCTTACTGAAGGGTTGTGGGGAGGAGATGAGCCAATCAGGGTGCAGAGTAGCAACCATGAAACATACAACTTTCCTCTAGTTCTTAAATGCTTCTCTTCCCCCCGCTCCCCACTATCATGATGCCAATTCTACCTTACAAATCTGGCTAGACCAGAGGATGTACATTGGTCCAGATAGCAACTGGAAACACAGGGAATCCAGGACAGATGACTCCTTCAGGACCAGTGGTGAGAGTGGCGATGCCTGGAGGGTGGAGGGAATGTGGGGTAGAGAGGGGGAACTGATTACAAGAATCTACATATAGCCTCCTCCCTGGGGAATGGACAGCAGAGAAGAGGGCAGGGGGAGATGTCAGACAGTGTAACTTATGACAAAATAATAATTTATGAATTATGAAGAGTTCATGAGGGAGGGGGGAGTGGGGAGAGAAGGAGAAAATGAGCAGCTGATATTAAGGGCTCAAGTAGAAGGCAAATGTTTTGAGAATGATGAGGGCAACAAATTTACATATGTGCTTGACACATGGATGGATGTATGGATTGTGATAAGAATTGTATGAGCCCCCAATAAAATAATTTTTAAAAATTATCTTCTATGGCAAGAAGAGACATATTAAGTAATTTGCTGTAATTCAATATAAATGAGAATGTACATTGCATATTTGCACAATGGAGTATTATACAAAAAATGAATGAACTAGAGCTTCATGTATTAATATGGATAAATATTCACACGTACTGTTAAGAAAGATGAAAAAAAGATGCAGAAGTAAATGTACATTATAATATCATTTATACACAGACCATGTGAAACAATATTATATACTATTGATGGATATACAATGTGTAGTGAACTTACATAATTTTAAAGTATGTTTTTTAAACACTAAATCATGAGTCGTGATAATGACCACTTCCAGGGAAGTTTGTAAGTCAATGGAGGGATCAAATGAAAAAGAAGAATACACAGAGAAGGCAACATGTTTTCATTTGATTAAGTTGAATATTGGGTACATGGGTATTCATTGTTATGGACCCTATAATTGTCTCTGTATTTGAGATCCAGGACTCCCTGTATTTCAGATACTTCATAGTAAATAAGTTAAAAATAAATTACCAAACTGCCATGACAGTTACACACATATATGTAGTATATGTGTATGGTATTACCATTGCATCAATTCTGAATCAGAGCAACCCTGTAGGGCAGAGTACAACTGCTCCTTAGGGTTTCCCAGATTGTAAATCTTTAAGGGGGCACATAACTTCATCTTGCTCCCACTAAGTGGCTGGTGGATTTGAACTACCAAGCTTGTAGTTAGCAGCCAAATGCCTAACCCACAAAACCACCAGGGTTCCATCCCATGCATATATAAGTATCTAATGTACAGTTTCTTGCATTAAGGATATGTGGACTTTGTAAGCATCTGTGGGATCTACTCTAATATAACCTCATTCTCTTTTAAAACAACCTTATAGGAACTGTAATAAGAACCAACGTAATGTTTTATACCCACCTGCTACTAAATTACTTTCATACATGCTTTCTAATGTTAACACTGAGAATTACAAGGGAGTATATGGCAAACGTTATTTATTGCACCCAAAGCCTAAATGCAGTGCATACTGTTTTTGCTTAAATTTGACAAAAATGCTTAACAGTGAAAAAGTCAGCCTTAGGCTTAAGTTATTGTCCATATTGGATATAACTATTGTTATTTTATTTTTCCTTTTAAGTAAGCTTAGTTTACGTGGAATACTTTATCATATTATTTTCTCAATGAGGTTCTTATCTGGGGTCTGACCAAATATTTTGCATTGTAATTGGCACCTTCTCACCTTCCCCTTCAAATGATCAGTTTCAGTTTCTGAATGTTTAACAATGGATGAAAGAGAGGTGTATTAAGATTTTCATCTGGCTAGGTCCGATGTAGTTCAAATTCTTAGAGTAAATCGTTAGCATGTAAGAGTGGAACATTTTTATTAATGGAAGAAAAACGAGTGCAGTGATTGTTTTGTCCGTAAGCTTTTCGTGGCAGGCATAGCAGAGAAACTGTGACTTCGCACAGCTCTTTGGAGTCATGGTTCTCTAGCAGCCCAGCACGTCTCTGGATGTCTAGTGGTGAGACAGTGTTCATTACGGGGAGTAGATGGGCACCAATGGCAGGAACATGACGAGAAGTACACGTTGTGTATGTTTAAGTCAACACGTTGCTAGTGACAGGTGTTCAATGGTGGTTGGGATCCTTGTCAGCAAAGAGAATCATTTGACATCAAAGACAGCAGCTCAATCCAGATCTGGGGCGACTCTATTGGCAGTTCCATCAGGCTGCTGCTCAGCGAGTGTCAGAGCTGCTGCGGCCGTTCTTCAGGAGTGTCACCAGCCCTCTGTGTTTGCGGTTTTTTTTTGTGGGGTGGGGGTGCGGGGTCTAACCTGGCTTCTTGTTCTGGTTTAGCCAGACTTTCAAATTGCTTACCTTTGGGAAATGGACCGGGAGGTCATCAGGAATACAGTTATCTTTAGGGCATGTAAAGCCATACACAAAATGACGACTTAAAGTGAAGACAAGTAATGATTACATCGACTCTAAGCCAATCAATGGTTGGAGCACCTGGGGACTCGTTAAATGGCATTTGTCGTATATATAACCCAGGTTTTGAGCTGTATTTCAGGAAAAGCAGTGACACCCTTTAATGTCTAACTGACCTCTTCTCTTTGTTTCACTTTCCATATTCGCCTCTGATGTGGTCCCTGATGGCAGCAAACAGCACTGCTCAGCATTTTGAACTTCTGTTCAGAACTTCAGCACCTCAGTTTGGGTAGTTGCGTCATGGTAAGTGTTTGAAAATTATCTATCCTCGTTCTCTGGTTCTCCCTTTCTTCCCCTGTGCCGATTTTATGTTCCCTTGCCTGGCTTGCCCTATCCCATCCCAACCTATCAGACAGCTTTTCAGATTTTGTGGTTAACTAATTTGTAGACCACATTTAGGCGATACTCATATATTGGACAGTATGTCTCTGAAACACTGTTGTTACCCATGCAAATAGGGAGCAAAGTATAGTGTAGCAGAAAGAGTTCCAATTTGCGTTCCTCAAGCCAGATGTCATCTCATATAACTTACTTGCTCTCTTTTAATTTCTCTATAAAATATTAGTCCTTCGTATATACTCATAGTTTAGTAAGTTTTTAGAAAGCAAAATGTAGTTTATGAATTATGGGATTCCCCTCTTTCTCCCCCCTCACCCCGTAATTGCTGATACAAATTTGTTTTCATTACTTACTCTTTACCAAAGTAGAATGATGGCCAATTTATAGTGGAACTCATTTTTTTGTCTTTTAAAATTTGATTGTGAAATCTAAACCACCATCTAAAGTTCCTTCCAAATATAAAATTATGATTTTATATGCTTCTGAAAGAGTTAATTGAAAGGCATAAATATCTTTTTATCTAAAGTATATGACTTTTAAACAATATTGAGACTTAAAAGGACAGTAGAATTCTTGGTGTGTTTCAGGCGTGTGTATAGATGTGTATAGATGTTGGCGTGGGCTCAGTAGAAATTCATCTCCCTACTGTCAAAGCAGGACATGATCAGGAAACCCCCAGACCATTCCAGATTTGCAGCCACAGAGTAGGGAGACCCTAATAATAGGCGCAGCGGCTACAGCAGTGGACGCAACATAACAAGGGCTGTGAGGATGGTCAGGAGCAGACCACGCTTTGCTGCGTTGTATGCAGTCACAGGTGGGACCTACTCAGTGGGCTCCAGCAACAGCAGTGAGCGGAATGTGTGCCGAGGTCCAGAGCAACTCCCCTGGTGCTCTGAGCTTGGAATCAGAAGGCAGGGGCTCCTGCCCGAGAGCACGTTCCATGTGAACATCTTGGAGCTCAGCTGTGGCTTCAGAACAGACCCACATTTTTGCAATCGATGAGTATAATGATTTATATTTGCTTCTGTATCCCCAAGGGTGGATCTGCTTAAACCCCAAATATGGGCCTAGCCCCATCCTGGACACTGGAAACAATCTTAGGAGCCACTGACTCAGTGAGGAGATCTAGTGATCGCCATACTACTTCAGTATACCGTTTTGTAGGTTTCTGTGGTCCTATTAATGACTCCTCTGTGTTGATTCTATTCTACATTGACTGCAGATCTTATGAAAATAAAGCAGTTCATTACCATTGTGCAAAATACCCCAAATTATGGCTTAAATATGGTAGAAGTTTATTTCTCTTTCATATAAATAAAGCATTGGAGGTTCTTGGTCCAGGCTGATGTGGTGGATCTACTTGTGAGACTCTTTAGAGACTCAGACTTTTAACTTGTTCCACCATCCCTATTATGGTTGTCTAATTCACGGCAACTCTGTGCAGAGTAGAACTAGTCCATAGAATTTTCAAGGCTGTGAACTTTTGGAGGCAGATTGCCAGGCCTGCCTTCTAAGGCTTGGGTGGGTTGGAACTGGTAAACTTTCAGCTAACAGTCAAGAACTTAAGAGTTTATGCCACCTAGGGATTCCTGCCACCAATCCTAACATTACATTTTAGATCATGGTTCAAAATAAATCACCCGGGATCATATCTCAATGCCAGGCAGTAAAATATCAGAAAAGGAAAAGGACACTTTCTAGAACTTGCATACATTTTGCAGCTCCTATCCTACCATCTGAAAGGTAATCATATTACATAATTTCTAGCATGGAAATTTGGGCTAAATAGTTTTTATTCTGGATAGCCACCATGTGCTTATGTAAAAATCAGAGTAAATGTTGTTGCTAAGTGCTATCAAATCAGTTTACTCATAGCAACGCAGGTGTCAGAGCAAAACTTGTTCCACTGGGACTTTTAGGCTATAGTCTTTACAGAAGCAGCACATCTGGTGTGTTAGGCTAGGTTCTCTAGAAAAGGAAAACCAGTGTGACTTAGAGAGAGAGAAATTTCTATCAAAAAAGCAGCTCTCACACCGTTGTAGAAGTTGGTAAGTTAAGTCCAAGTTCAAGTCTGTGGGTCAGATGTTAAGCAGGAGGCTTCTCCTGACATGAGTAACTTTGGAGGCTAATAAAACCAGAGTGAGCCAGGAACCTCACAGGCTACAGAGGCAGAAAAATCCTAGGCCAGTAGGTTAGGCTGATACTGGCCCCTGGGACAGTAAGCAACATGGCAGGCCGTTGGTTCAAGTCTAAAGAACTGGAGGGTAGCAAGCCAGATTTACAAAATCCTGACCAAGCAAAAAGCACACAAGCTTTCAACAGTGTCTATTTATATAGAAATAGGCCACACCCTGTATCAGGGCTGTTACCTGAGTAATGGGGTTGCATTCCATTCTAATCTTTTAACTGCTTGGTTGCTCACATCAAATCCTACCATTGAGTTGATTATATTAGGTCTCACCATGGGAGATGACTAAACCTCAGCTGCCAACAAGCTACTGAGAATTCTGACCCAGTTATCACACCAAGTCGTGCTCCCTCAGAGCTGCTGGATGAGTTCAAATATCCACCTTTTTGGTTAGCAGTGATTAGGTAACCACTGTGCTGCCCATAAGTAACACTAATGAATTTAACTTTGTACTTCCTTTCTACACGAATAGTCCCAGGAAGATAGGGAAAACAATGAAGCAGCCCATTGGCATCCCAAAAGAAAAGAACGTAAAGGATACATAGGATCCCTTAGCTTGATAATCAGCCTCAGACTACGGTATCCAATATGGTACCTAAGACGGGGCTTTTTATTCCCATCAAGAGTTACAGTCTTAGAAGCACACAGGGGCAGGGCAGTCCTACACTGTCCACTCTGTAGCAGTGAGTTTTTTTTTATTTTTATGGTTGTTTGTTTGTTTGTTCTTTGGTACTAAATATGTGGCTATTTAACAATAGAAATGTGTTGGGAATAATGAGGGCAACAAATGTATAGATGTGCTTTACACAATTGATCTATGTATTGTGATGAATTGTATGAGCCCCAATAAATTGATTAAAAAAACAACAAAAAAAAAAAACAATAAAAATGTGGCTGGTCTACATTGAAATGTGAAGTAAGTATAAAAATATATACAAGCTTTTGGGGTCTTACCAACCCCCAAATGTAAAATGTTGATGGTATTCTTAATTTTATTTTGAATGATAATTTTATGTATGTATTGGAAGAAATAAAGCTTATGATTCAACTTAATTTTATCTGTTTCCTGTTACTTTTTAATATGCCTAACAAACATTTAAATTACATATGTAATAGGTATTATATTTGTATTGGATAATACTCCTCAAAATAATTAAAGTTGCCTAAATTACAGAACTGTAAAACCTACAAACAGTTTAGATTTTCTGCTACTTGTGTGATCCTGGTCAAGTCACCTAATTTCTTGACAGCTCCCCTGTGACATGTGTCTTTTTTTTAAGTAACGAGTGATAATGAATGAGAAAGTGAATGTGAAAAATATCTGATCACTCAGGGGAGAAAGGGTCTGTGTAATTACTCTATGTAACTCAGAAGGAGATTTTAATTAGTAAGGAAAGGATATGTTGCCTTCAATTGAGTAAAAAGTATTTGACTTGCTTCTGACTCGCCCCTAAATTTCCTTGTGTCTGATATGCTTAATAATGCTGTGAACATTTCACAATAAAAATTCTTAAGGAATTTTTCTGTATATTCTGCTGCTGAATTAGTCCATATGCCCTTGAGATTACCATGATGCAAATTCAACACAATTAGAACTGTGGGTTACAGACATTTTTTAAATTGCTTCTTTCTGGAGAAGCCAATTGGCCGAACTATCAAAGCTAGAGGTTTATGTTGTCTAGGTGTACTCACTAAAAAAAATCAATCTATTACCCCAAGTCTCTTCCCCTAGTCTTCTGTATGAAGACCAAAACGTAGAAATCATTGATTCTATGCTTTCCATCTTTGGTTCTGATGCCAATTTATATTCCTGGGTTTATCTGCAACTCAATTTCCACCGTTACTACCTCCATCTGAATCTTCATTACCTCTCCCCTGAACTATTGAAGACCTCTTGTCTGGGGTTTTCCCTCCATTTGTAGCCATCATAGTCCATCCATGCTCCAACGAGAGGTTTTGTTTTAATATAAATCATATTGTGTCACTCCTCTGTCCCTCTGTCCCAATTCTCCACTGACGACCTGTAGGACTTAAATGCAAACGTCTTCCCTGGCATAGATGGCAGGCTGCTGCATCACTCCTGCCCTGCATGACTCTCGGTCCCCCTGGTAGCCTTGCTGACTTGCTACCTTGGCTCACCCTGATTTTTCTTCTGGCTCTCGAACGGGTCAAGCTTAACCCTGACTCTGGGCTAATCTTGCAAAATTCTATCATGGTGGGGTTTCTGTCACCAAAGCTGTGTTTTTAGCTACCAGTTATTCTTCCTTTCCAGCTTTCACATCCCAATCACCAGTAATTGTCAATGTACTCTGCATGTTTGATCAATTTCAAACTATAGACGTTGGTAAAAATCTTCAATATCTGTATTGTTGGTATTAATGGTTGGTACATAAACTTGAATAATAGTACTGATCTTCTTAGTCAGCATGTAAGTGCCCTGGTGGCATAGTGGTTATGCATTGGGCTGCTAACAGCAAGGTCAGCAGTTCTAAACCACCAGCCGGCTCCAAGGGAGAAAGACAAGGCATTCTACTTCCATAAAGAGTTGCAGTCTTGAACTAATGGGGAGTTGTACCCTGTCCTTATGGGGCACTATGAGTCAGAATTGCCTTGATGGCAGTGAGTGAGTGTGAGTGAGTTATAGGCATATGGACATTGTGCTATCTCTGACAGCGTTGTACTTCAGGACAGATATTGCAGTGTTCTTTTTAACGATGGATACACATCGTTCCTCTTTAGTTTGTCATTCCTGGTACAGTGGACCATATGTTTGCCCAACTCAAAGGCCAATACTAGTCCAGTTCAGCTCATCAGTGCATACGATTATATGTTCCCGTTCATTTTTGATGACCTCCAATTTTCTCACAGTTATTCTTACATTCCACATTTTGATTATTTTTTAAAATCATTTTATTGGGGG